TATTGAATTAGATGCTATAATTATTGAAGATTTCTAATTTTTGACAAGGGAGATAATAAACTAGATCAAGCAGTTTCAAACTAAAACAAATCAATTAATTTGATTAAGTTACAATTTAAATTAATTATGTCGCTTTTCATTCGCATGTATTCTTTATAAAAAAAAAACATCATCTTCTTTTTGAAATGACTGGTATTGGTTTAATTATAATGAAATTAATTTCCCTCTTTAATAGATATCACAGTATAATTCGTTAATTATAGGGGACATTGTGTAGGCTTTTCTTAACTCCAATAACAGATGTTATCATCCATTTTCGTCCTTATTAGGAAGAAATTTTTTGTCATTAGAAGCCCTACCCTGGCTTTTGCCAGGGGCTGCAATATAGGCAGGCCATACATATGGCCAAATGTCTGAACGCGGTTTCTGGGACCTCTCCACGGCGATCCTCATCCGCATGGTGGCACTTTGTGTCATCGGGTGTTTATCGCTTGTGTGATGTCCTGGTGGGGTAGAAAGTCAGTCAGTCAGTCCAATAACAGATTTTTTGCTACTTACTTAAACTATTTTTTGACAGGTACATTTGTATGTACCTATATAACAATGTATATAGACGAGAGTTCACAGGACATTTCATTGACAGTCGTACCCGCTGCGGTGAGACGGCAGTCAACGCTGTCAGTTTGTTTGCGTCATTTCTCTCCTAAGCGTTCAAATTGTGTTCTGTTGCGAAGATTAATTATATAATATATAAAAAATACAGTTTTATAAGGAGCCTGGTTAGTTGCGTATCCCTTACTGGACATTGCAGAACCAACCATTGCAGCCCCTGGTTGTTGTGTGGTTTCTCTAGGCAAATTTACGGCAGACAAATGTTAGATCGTGTGTCTTGTACAGGCAGCATCATCGGAGTTTACCGTGTGTTTGTTTGTGCGTCAGACAAATGTTAGATCGTGCGACAGACAAATGTTAGATTGTGCGACAGACAAATGTTAGATTGTGCGACAGACAAATGTGAGATTGTGTGACAGACAAATGTTAGATCGTGGGACAGACAAATGTTAGATCGTGGGACAGACATATGTTAGATCGTGGGACAGACAAACGTTAGATTGTGTGACAGACAAATGTTAGATCGTGGGACAGACAAATGTTAGATCGTGGGACAGACAAATGTTAGATCGTGGGACAGACAAATGTTAGATTGTGCGACAGACAAATGTTAGATTGTGTGACAGACAAATGTTAGATTGTGCGACAGACAAATGTTAGATTGTGTGACAGACAAATGTTAGATTGTGCGACAGACAAATGTTAGATTGTGGGACAGACAAATGTTAGATTGTGCGACAGACAAATGTTAGATTGTGCGACAGACAAATGTTAGATTCTGCGACAGACAAATGTTAGATCGTTGGACAGACAAATGTTAGATCGTGGGACAGACAAATGTTAGATCGTGGGACAGACAAATGTTAGATCGTGGGACAGACAAATGTTAGATCGTGGGACAGACAAATGTTAGATCGTGGAACAGACAAATGTTAGATTGTGTGACAGACAAATGTTAGATCGTGGGACAGACAAATGTTAGATCGTGGGACAGACAAATGTTAGATCGTGGAACAGACAAATGTTAGATTGTGTGACAGACAAATGTTAGATTGTGTGACAGACAAATATTAGATTATGTGTCTTTCTTGAGAAGTTGCCATCAGCGAAAGTAAGTTTGCTTTAGATCCACACAGTTGTTGTTGTTGTTGTTGTTGTTGTTGTTGTTTATGTTCACCGGCTGCATACCTTGGCGAAAAGACTTTGTTGTTTGTCCATTTCTGGACTTTGGCATTGCATTTAACATATCTTGCTTATATGTATGCACACTGTTGGTTAACTACCTCTTAGGCAGATGCATTCAAACTTTAAATCAAGTCGCCAGTTAGTCAACTTCTACGACATGCTTGTTAGGGGAAGCAGTGGGTCTATTCTTGATTATCCCCTAATGGGACCTCGTAACCCACACAGAGATACCCATACAGTGATACTGAGTGGCATGTTTCTGTGTTCGTGTGGATAATAATAATAATAATAATAATAATAACGTAATGTGCGACCGAGATCGGTGACAGGGTCGCCCACTGGCTGAGCAGTTGAAGAGTTCATCGTCGGTGGGAACGTATTATGGTCTGTCTCTTTTGATCTCTTCAACACTGCAGGGGAGCTTCTCAATGTTACTAGCTGGCAGGCACATTTAGGCTATGTCACAATTATAACCAAAAGCTCTCCCTGTGGCTATGTTGGTTGAAGGTTAGTGTTGTTTTTTTTTTTTTTTTTCTTTTTAAATTAAAAACGTACAGACGGAGAGCGACCTCTTGCTGTTATAAACAATGAGCACGTTGCTGGCGGAATAGATAAAAGTATTCAGAATCTAGTCTCATAAGTAGCAATATCTTTTTACCTCTATGGTTAAAGAACATTACATCTCCCCGCGACACTTCGATGAGGTACAAGGTGGAAGAGAAGAAGAGGAAGAAGTTAAAGGGTGGCAAAGGCTGCCAGCTTTTCACTAATGGTGTCGACTAGAATGTAGAATACAAATCCTTGCTTGGTTCTATGTTTGATCTACATTTCCAGTGCTTACACACATACCAAGTTAACGTACTTTAGATAATTTTTCATGTCATGCTGGTATGTTGGGAAACGAGCAGGCAGAGTGACTGGGCGGTTTAGTCCAACTTGCTGGTGAATCGGTGTATGACAAGCTGAATGTTGTGAGGGCTCTTTGGGGCGGAACAATGCAGAGGGACTAATAAATCATGTTTCAGTCTAAGGAGAATTTCGCTACGGGAAGCTACTGGGGGATTTAGGCGATGCTAAAGACTATTAACCACACTACGCTGATAAATATGTTGAGAGGGGAATCTGAGCGCCTATGGATGTGTTCGGAGTGCTGTGAAGATAATCAAACTCACAACTCATAACCCATAACCACTCCATCCCCATCTTCAGCAACAAGCGCAGAGTTCCAATTATGATGGCACCAATAACTTCTCATTGTGTAATCCGTGTCAACTTTCCACTGTGTGTTCAGCTTCAGCCAGATTCTCTTGTGACGCGTGGCAGTACCGTTCTAATCAGACTGTGATGATCTAAGTGTGCTTCGGCATTGTTCAATCGCCCCCATGGGATCCTTGCAGCATTTAGCTTGTCATGCATCAATTAACCATTAAAAGCTGCATAACCAACCAATCTCTCTGCCTGTATCGAACACACCGGCATCAACGGAGAAATTATACAAAAGACGCTAAAATCCCAGGACTTCTGAAGCGATGCCTGCCACTCTGATTGGAGCACACATGTATTTACCTTTCTCAGTATGCTCTGTGAGTCAATTACAGCTATGTCCATTCGTTCATTCGTTTTTGCTCCGAACTCCATATACTTCGTCTGCTCTTTAACACAAAACCATCCGTTTAGATAATCACATCACCTGGGAGAAAATTGTCATCAATCATTTGTTGAACTTTTGATTCTGTAACGCCAGTCCCTGCACTTAATGCGAAATTTGATTAAAACCCTGTGCAAGCCTGATTATTGTCCTGACACTTTGATCCACTCCGCGCCACGCCTAATATTATCTAACTTGCACACATGTCTAATTCTGTTATGTGTTAGCGCCATTGAAGACTTCCTCATTTCGGTCAATGACTCTTAGCTATACCTAGGGCTCAGTGAAGGTGCTTCTTGTCTGCGGCAACTTGAGATATGACAGCTTGCCGCACCTTGAGCCTACCTGTAAAAGTTACCAATACGAATAAATATCAAATACATACTACCGGAGTATCTCTTGCACATCCGAAGAACTACCCTCATGGCCTCGTTCTGGATTCGTTTAAGTTTCAACAGCTGACTCTTTGACACGGTGACCATTTCAAGTCCATAATCCATTACCAATAAGAACTCATGATGGAACAGCATTCTCTGTTCCATGCCCACTACTATAATCTTGTGCTGGCAACGCTGTTTTGTTTTCATCACTCTTATAGAGTTATAAGTTGGGATAGAACAAAGAGCATTTCCAGCTGATGTTGGCACATAAGGTCACAATGCATGCCCAGACTTGTCAAATTATCTTCAGCTCTTGAATTACATTTTAGCATTGCTTCCTTGTGAATAGATTCATTATTAGTGATTAGAAAGGATTATTATCACAGCACTCCGGACAGATCCACAGGTGCTCCGATCTCCTCCTCAAAAGCTCCACAAGTGTAAAACGACTGATGATGCCTGTTTTGTGTTGGTTAATGAAATGTTTTGTCCCCTTAGTGAAATGTTCATTTCTTGCAGCTCCAGGCTGCACCCCCGTGTCCATCAGTCTAGACAGGGATATGGAGTCATGCCATTTGTGATCTTCTTCACTTGCTCTTAAACAGACTGTGGCACTTTATCAGTGTCAAAAATAAAAAGCATTCTGGTAAACTTCCAATGCGAGTCATCAAGGGGTAAACTGAGAAACATAGACTGAACGCCTTAGCCAGAAAATCTAAATATGGCTGAATTTTAACTGCATGCTCAAGATTTCTTCACGTATTATTTGCAAACAGTTCATTATGGCGATGTAAAGATGAGAAGTACTTGGATTCAGTTCGTCGTTTCCCCATTTTTTTTTTTTTTTTTACAAAAGCTCCGACTGAATCGAATAATGTTGATATGTTCTACTTGAAGTTGTAAGTTCAAGTTATTTAAAGTTTCAAAAATAAGTGACTAAACAATAATCAGTTTCAGAAATAAGTATTTATTGTGCAGTGTTTATGTTCAATATTCATATTTATGTGCAATAAATGTTTATAAATTGTAAGGCCATCTCTATTCTTTGACTCATCATTATTCTTTTGTAGCCGTCCTTTCCTTGTTCCTCTGTCCTCTTTAACCCTTTCGCTCTTCTATCATGTTCTCTACCCTCGCTACTACACCGTGGTTTGTAGTGCTGTTGTAGTTGGTGGTTATGTTGTTGTTGGTGATGCCGCAGTGGTTGGTGATTTCGTCGTGGTTTCTGGAAGTTTTGTGCCGCACGGCGGGTAAACGTCTGAGACAAAGTCGCACGATTGGATTTCCTCATTAAAAATCAGACCTAAGGAAAAATCAAGGGGCATGGTTTAAAGTATAAGTCCAGATCCTGAACACACAATTGTGTAGAGTATACGTGTATGTACTATGTGTGTAAACACTGAAATCAATAGTATGTATGTAGATAGTATGTAAGCGTATTATTTGGTATCCTATACATGTATACTTCTGATTCTTCTTCATCTTCTTCTTCTACTGATTCTTCTGCATCTTAAATTCTTTTCTTCCCCTCTTTCTTATCTTCCTTTTTTACTTTCTTCTTTCCTTACTTTTTTTTTTTTTTTTTGGTTGCTTCTTGTCTTCTACTTTGTTTTCTTACTTTGTCTTTTTCCTTTTTTCTTTCACCCTTTCTATTTTATTTTTGTTTTCATCATCGTCATCATCGCTATCATCTTCCACCACATCCTCTCCGTCCTTCTCATTGTCACTGTCATCATCAGTGCCTGTCAATCTTTCTTTGCTTCATTTTGTGTGCTTTGTTTTATGTCTTGTTTCCTCACCAGTATCTTCATATTTGTCTTCATAGCATAATCTGCCTCTTCTTCTAACTTAATAGCTCTCAACCTTCACAATGCCGAGATCCTTTAATACAGTTCCTCATGTTGTGGTGACCCCAACCATAAGATTATTTTCGTTGCTACTTCATAACTTCAGTGAATATTTGTTTTCCGATGGACTTTGGCGACCCCTGTAAAAAGGTCATTAGACCTAAAAAAAAAAAATGGTCGGTACCCACAGGTTGAGAACAACTGTTCTAACGTTTTATGCCTAGTAGAATCTAAAGGACACCCCAACCCAACTGCCATCTCTGTTTGTCAGTTTAATTCCTTCTGTCTGTTGCCATCTCTGTGTGTCAGTTTAAGTTCTTCTGTCTCTTGTCATCTCCGTATCTCAGTTTAAGTCCTCCTGTGTGTTGTCATCTCTGTATGTCAGTTTAAGTCCTCCTGTTTGTTGCCATCTCTGTACCTCAATCTATGTCCTCCTGTCTGCTGCCATCTCTGGATCTCAGTCTATGTCCTCCTATCTGTTGCCATCGCAGTATCTCTGTCTATGTCCTCCTGTCTGCTGCCATCTCTGGATCTCAGTCTATGTCCTCCTATCTGTTGCCATCGCAGTATCTCAGTCTATGTCCTCCTGTCTGTTGCCATTTCAGTATCTCAGTCTATGTCCTCCTGTCTGTTGCCATCTCAGTGTCTCAGTCTATGTCCTCCTGTCTGTTGCCATCGCAGTATCTCAGTCTATGTCCTCCTGTCTGTTGCCATCTCAGTGTCTCAGTCTATGTCCTCCTGTCTGTTGCCATCGCAGTATTTCAGTATATGTCCTCCTGTCTGTTGCCATCGTGGTATCTCAGTCTATGTCCTCCTATCTGTTGCCATCTCTGTATATTAGTTTTTGTCCTCCTGTCTGTTGTCATCGTAGTATCTTAGTCTATGTCCTCCTGTCTTATTCCCCATTGAAATCAAGTGAACACAAACACTACATTGCACAATTTATTGCCTGTGATATCCCACATGTTGTACGTGCATTACTACAGACACAAATCAACATATTGTGTGGTATATAAACGGAATCATTTTCAATTTATTTTGATTTAACTGGGCAGCAAATCTTCTGACGAGATAGAGCTAAATATGCCAGGCAATCAATTGTACACGTTGTGTTTGTGTTTATCTTACAATAGAAAAACATTGTTTTGATTGGTCATCACTGCGTGTTTTCATTCCTTTCTTTATTCCTTTGCCACTGTAGGTTCTAATGCGAGGACATTTACTTATAGTATATTTTCCAAGAAGTCTCAACTGACTGTGATAGATGCGATCCCTTTGAAGACGCAGATGATCAAAGACCATTGTATGGAGGTTGATCCTCCTAAAGAGCTAACCCACGTCATTGTAAGTATAAACATATGAGGAAAAATCTCTGTTTACTGCCTACATTTTCTACCGATGTAAGACAGAAGAATTTTCTGCATCATGGCTAGTGCTGTAGCCACAAACTGTGCAGGTTATGAATTACACGATTGTTGCCCCTGGCAGAATGAAACCCCTACCCCTTACAGTGAACCACACCCGACTACCTGCAGGAGAGCTCAGCTATCTATCCACTTTATGGAGAGATCTTCGTGCGCACTTATAATAAAGCTGGCCTTTAAGATTAAAAGCTCCTGAGAAAGCAGATCACGTCTTCCCAAGACTGTCAAAAATACAACATATCAAGGGAAAACTTTTAGCCAAGAAAAGCATCGGAGCAAGTCAAACTTTACGGATTGCTGAGTGAATTACAAAAGACAGTGAAGTTCATACTAGAGACAACACTGCAGATATAGATAATCTATTTCAAACAAACAAAGAAAGAAGAAGAAGATCAAAGGGCAGGATAGGTTACTCACGGCAAACAAAAACGGAATACAAAGAAACACGAGCGGTTCTTGTTGGCCTGGCATCCGATGTAAGGTCATTAGCATGCCGATTCACCGTTCGGCTTGACTGACTAGACACATTGAAAAAAAATGCATTATAATAATTATAACAATGCTATGCTAGACTCAGAGCTTACTTCCAGGACAGTAAAACTGGCCGATGTTGTTTCCCCCGTAGCATCTGGAATAAGACTTGCAATAATCGAACTGCAAGAGAAGAAATGGGCAATGTATTTACTTCTAGGTTAACAAGAGGACGTAGAATTGTGTCCTGTGAATGACTAGCAATGATAGTAGCTAGCTAGTTAGGTGTCCCCTTTAAGATTGCAGTCTTCAAGCTCAACACCCGTTACACCGAGACCTCTGACACTTACATAGTGACCTGAATTATCGACCAGGCGAGGATGTAGTCGGTAGCAATATTAGCTCTCTCGCTGCGCCGTGACTACTATCCATGCCTGATATCTGGACTCAACGTGACTACTATCCCTGCGTGATATCTGGCCTCAACGTGACTACTATCCCTGCGTGATATCTGACCTCAACGTGTCTACTGTCCCTGCGTGATATCTGGCCTCAACGTGATTACTATCCCTGCGTGGTATCTGGTCTCAACGTGACTACTACCCCTGCGTGGTATCTGGCCTCAACGTGACTACTATTCCGGCGTGATATCTGGCCTCAACGTGACTACTATCCCTGTGTGATATCTCGCCTCAACGTGACTAGTATCCCTGCGTGGTATCTGGTCTCAACGTGACTACTATCCCTGCGTGGTATCTGGTCTCAACGTGATTACTATCCCTGCGTGATATCTGGCCTCAGCGTGACTACTATCCCTGCGTGATATCTCTCCACAACGTGATTACTATCCCTGCGTGGTATCTGGCCTCAGCGTGACTACTATCCCTGCGTGATATCTCTCCACAACGTGATTACTATCCCTGCGTGGTATCTGACCTCAACCTGACTGCTATCGGGAATAGTCACCTAAATGATTTTATGTATTTTTGTTTGTTTGTATATTTGGGCTAACGAAGGCTATCTAGCCACAACGTTCATTTCTTGTTTGTGTTTGTGATAATGTGAAGCTTACTGGTATTAATTTTCCTTCTTCCTCTTCTTCTTTTCTTCCACCAGTTACCTCAGCGCGCTGTTGGGGGAGGGGGAGGGGATGTAAAGAGCGTTTGTGCCCTTTTTTAAATGCATTGTACAAGTTGGTGTTCATTTCTGTTAGGTTGCTCCATATCTTGCGTGGTCGTCCTCTTGCTTTGTGTCCATTTTTTTCAGTTGGTACCAGGGCATTATTGTCAGGTTGCTTTTCGTTCGCTTGATATATTTTCGCCTGTACAAGATGAGAGCAGACAAATGTACACTGTGTATATTTCCAGAACCTGTGAACTCCAGTACTTTGTTTCAATACGTCTTTATGCGGCATCTGCATACATACACAAACATACATATGTACATACATAATATATATATATATATATATATATATATATATATATATATATATATATATATATATATGTGTGTGTGTGTGTGTGTGTGTGTGTGTGTGTGTATACACGCATTCGTGTATGTGAGAGAGGGAGACAAGAATAAAAGTCAAAAAGTAAAAGGGAAAAGGAAGGAAGAGAGTGTTCGAGATGGGGAGAGAGAGTCAGAGGGTTAGAAATGTCGAGTGACAAAGAGATAGGGAGAGTTGTAGAAAGGGGAGAATTGGCGATGGGGTGAGGATTAAAGAGTGAGAGAGTGATGAAGGGAGAAAGAGATGAAGACAGACCGAGAATGAGTGAGAGAGGAGGAGAGGGCGAGAGGGGTGAACAGTGAAAGGGAGAGAGCTGAAGCAAACAGAGAAATAAACATAGGGGTACGCGGATGTGAAAGATGATGTGTGTGTGTGTGAGAGAGAGAGAGAGTGAGTGTGAGAGAGAGAGAGAGAGAGAGAGAGAGAGAGAGAGAGAGAGAGAGAGAGAGAGAGAGAGAGAGAGAGAGAGAGAGAGAGAGAGAAGACACAATACTCACATAATTACTATAAAAACTATCGGGCAATCCAGTACAATCTGTTCCGTTATCACAGTCTGTATGTCCGGTCCCTTTTCTGAAGAAATGTAAATAATAACGATTATATTGCAGCTGGGATGTGTCTGATCAACCCAATCGTTGCTACATTTAAACTCCAGTATTGTCAAAAATATTGCATGTTGAATTAGGAATTGACTACACAGCACTCGAGACATTCCCATAAGCGATCTGTCCCCCATCTTCAGCACTGAAATTAGCCAGACAACTGTTTTAGTGACTGTTGTAGATCAACGCAACATTTTAGGAATTTCATCTACAATAGTGCATGTTGGGAAATGAAAGCGGAAATCACACAAAAACCGGAGACTTTACCAAATATTTTTCCAAGGAAAATCCTGCGGATATTTTGGCCCAACAAAAACACAAATGAAGAACTGAGCAGGAAATCAAAATAATCATAAGGAAACGATGGAGATGGCTTGGACATGTTTGCAGAATGCCTCGTGTCACTTTGGTAAGGTCAACTCTTCAATGAACAGAAGTAGAAAAAATGGAGTCGCGCATGACCCAAGAAAACACAGAGGACAGTAGAAAGGGAACTGAAGGAATGTAAAAGGACATTGGATACCATAGGCAGAGAAGCAGCATCTCTGTAGCAATTGAGATCACTTGCGAATGCTTTATGTGTCAACAGCGACATCAAGAGGGTGTAAATAGAGATCGCTAGTGTCTCAAGGCAGGAAGACAACTGTAAGGCCACTATTGTCACACGCAGAATATTTTCACATTTCAGATCTATCCAAAACCAAAAAACTGTTTTCAGTTCTTTATGGCAAAGTAAAATCCTCAAAATTGTAAAACTACAAATGGCGGTCCAAAGGATGGTATGTAGAGAAGCGCGCTCTCCTACGAAATACGCCTGGCCATATTAGAGGGAGCTGAAACCAAGGAGAAAACACCAGGAAGGAAAAGGCAAGAAGTACACAGCTAACAACAGGGTAGAGGACGAGCGGTCTGACTCAAAGGAAGGAAGCATCAAGCCCAGAGACGGCGCAAATACTAACACTTTACTCACGAAAGTGACGTAAATAACCCAGACCACAAATATAGACGGAGACTGTTAGCAGCCTCGGCTAGCTAGCAGTAGTCTGAAAGTGGTCGAACTTTCAATTTTTTTTTTTTTTCCTAAAAAGGAGTCGGAATCGGAATCACGAAGCAACGATTCTGACCAAAGACTGTATTTGTATCACAAGGGCGTGAAACTCAGCCCTATGGGTTAACCTTCTTGAAGGTAGGCCTTCAATGGGCACTGGCAGAAGATAGGCATGGGTAGCGACATCGGGGGTTCGGAAAAAGGGGGGGGGGGGGGGGGGGGGTTGGAAGATGCGCTCAGACAAATTTTCTAAAAGTTGGGGCGTGCACGGACCAAGGGGTCTAAGTGGCATATAAGAGCTTCAGGATGTTTATTAAAAAGATATTGATGTGCTGAGTTCCCAAAAACAACAAACAAAAATATGTTTGATAAAATATGTGTATAAAAAGTACAACCTCAGCTTAACCCGCCCTTCCACTTCTTTTTACCCCTGCTGCCCCAATCCTTTACATATTAAGGGTGGTGGAGGATGAGAACTCTTATATTTTGGGAGTCAGGAATCTTAAGCAGATTACGCCCCGCCCCCCCCCCCCTTTTTTTTTTCTACACCCGTTCCCCGGTTTAGGCGGCCCTGGGGTGGGAGCGGGAAACACTTGTGGGAATGCCTAATATGCAGTGGTGGTTAAAGTTAGTTGGTATCCTTTATAGAACGTTGCATAAACCAACACTAGAATGTTTGCTTGTTGTGGTTTTCTAGGCAAATTTATACTCATTCGTTTACCATTGCTCACTGAAAAATCGGCTCTCGGTACCACTGTCGAAACCCACGCAAGGCGGTCTGCTGTCAAACAGCTTGAAGTTGGGATCGAACCTGTCACCCCTGCATTATGAAACGCGTTCGCAACACTCTAAGCCACAAACAACGACACGCAAAAGACGTACTATCTTTAAAAAACAATGCTGAAAGCCATCCCGCTGCACAATCTGATCATCGCAATGTAAGATAGGAGGTTATTGCGGCTAGTGTACTTACGGGTGACACTGTCGGGTGTCCTTGTCAAGGACTTGTTTTTCCTCACACAGGTGTTCAATGAAAGCTCCATTGACACACTCTCTATAGCCCCAGCAGCCGATCTCTATCACCCCAAACATGTCCGCATTCTGGCACCTCTCGTCTGGCGGTGGAGTTGCGGCGCCAAAAGCTGAGAGGAGATTTATACGACCACTAGTGAGAGTTGAGTTGTCATACAAACATGGTTGTTTTAGTGAGAGCTGAGTTGTCATACAAACATGGTCGTTTTAGTGAGAGCTGAGTTGTCATACAAACATAGTTGTTTTGGTGAGAGCTGAGTTGTCATACAAACATGGTCGTTCTAGTGAGAGCTGAGTTGTCATGCAAACATGGTCGTTTTAGTGAGAGCTGAGTTGTCAAAAAACATGGTTGTTTTAGTGAGAGCTGAATTGTCATTCAAACATGGTCGTTTTAGTGAGAGCTGAGTTGTCATACAAACATGGTTGTTTTGATGAGAGCTAAGAGTTGTCGTACACACATGGTCGTTTTAGTGAGAGCTGAGTTGTCATACAAACATGGCCGTTTTAGTGAGAGCTGAGTTGTCATACAAACATAGTCGTTTTAGTTAGAGCTGAGTTGTCATACAAACATGGTCGTTTTAGTGAGAGCTGAGTTGTCATACAAACATGGTCGTTTTAGTGAGAGCTGAGTTGTCATGCAAACATGGTCGTTTTAGTGAGAGCTGAGTTGTCAAAAAACATGGTTGTTTTAGTGAGAGCTGAATTGTCATACAAACATGGTCGTTTTAGTGAGAGCTGAGTTGTCATACAAACATGGTCGTTTTAGTGAGAGCTGAGTTGTCATACAAACATGGTTGTTTTGGTGAGAGCTAAGTTGTCATACGAACATGGTCGTTTTAGTAAAGATGACAATAACAAACTGAAATGGCTTATATATACATCTAACAGTTTCTTACAGTTATAGTTCTTCTTGTGTTTTGTTCATCGCGTTGACCGTTTACAGCTTGACTGCGATATATGCGCATTTACGCCGATACATCCGACTTCTTTATGCATTTGTTGAGTTGGTTAGCCTTTCCGGGCATTTACATCTTCTCGCTTTCTTTCTTCTTTTTTTTTTTTTGTATCTTCTTCTTCTTGTTCTTCTTCTTGTTCTTCTTTTTCTTCTTCTTTTTCTTCTTTTTCTCCTTCTTCTTCTACTACTACTTCTTCTTCTCATCCTCCATCTCCTCTTTTTCTTCTTTTTCTTAGCGTTCACACAGGCTGTAGACTTCAACGGAAAATTTTGGTTGTTCGTTAACTTCTGGTTAGTGCCTTGTGGGAGAGCGTGTACAGTTCGGAGAAGCAGATGGATCACCACAGTCTGGTGAGACTGATGCAGCGGGGAGTGACATTTCGTAAACAAACTACTAACATTTTAAATTTTCTGCATTTAAAACGTAAAGTTTCTATCTTCATTATCATTATTCTTCGTCGTCATCATCATCACACTTCCTGTCATTGGGTCACCACTCGTTGTTGTTGTCTGATCAGCTCTTTCCACCTTTGTCTGTAAGATGCGATAGACTTCATGCTTGCATGACTATGGCTTGTCCAGTCAATCAACTTCGGTATCCAGTTGTTTTTTTCTGCCTCTTCTCTTCCCCCCTACTGAGTCCTGTAGTATTGTTTCTGAGAGGTTGGCAATTCTTATTACATGTTCCATACCATTGCATTGTCCGCCTTTTCACTGAATATTAAAGAGGTTAATAGTCTCAAATGAACTAGGTAATTCAACAGCAAACCTGGTCATTTGTGATGTCTCACTGCATGTTAAATCAATAATGTGTCTGAAGGATCTCCTTTCTAATGCTTTTATGTTCGTTCCGAGTTCAGATTTTATGGTCCACATTTTACAGCCATATGTAAACGAACTAACCAACGAACTTTATTTTCAAAGGGTCATAAATGGGCACCCAGTTTTGTCTTACATTCGGCTCTTCCAAACGTGTACAGTTCGGAGAAGCAGATGGATCACCACAGTCTGGTGAGACTGATGCAGCGGGAAGTGACATTTCGTAAACAACCTATTGACATTTTAAATTTCCTGCATTTCAAAAGTAAAGTTTCTATCTTCATCATTCTTCGTCGTCATCATCATCCCGGTAACACTGCCTGCCTGTCATCTTTCACACAACAGTTGAATTGTAACAATAAATCATGCTATGTTTTTATAATAATATGCCTATTATAAAAATAAAGAAACAATACCACGAGTTACCCGTACCACTAGCTAGTGTTCTTATCAGTGGGAGCTTAGTTTTAAATGAGATGTTCTTGGATCTACATAATGTTTCCTGTTTGCCATGGATTGATGTTGTCTAGGCAATCCTAGACATGATTTTTAATCTGGATCCTAGTTCACTTAGAATGGATCCTAGGTCACTTAGAATGGATCCTAGGTCACTTAGAATTGATCCTAGTTCACTTAGAATGGATCCTAGGTCACTTAGAATGGATCCTAGGTCACTTAGAATTGATCCTAGTTCACTTAGAATGGATCCTAGGTCACTTAGAATGGATCCTTGGTCACTTAGAATGGATTCTAAATATTTGAAATGTTTCATTTTTCTCACTTGTGACCTTTGGCGTACATCAGTGTAGTTATTCCAGGTGCAACTTTAGTCATTACTTTGATCTTTTCCTCGTTTATTTCCATGCCATACTTGCTCAATATTTTATCAAGCAAGTTCTTCACTCACTGTTGTTTTTTCCCGGCCAACCCCATCGCTGTTATCTGCAAACATCAAGTTTGTTACGATTCGTCCTCCTTTGCTAACTGTTCCATGATGGTTTTCTAGGGCATCTTCATTATTAGCTCAGAAAGAAAAAAAATTGTAAGTGCATTACTTTATGAACGCCCCTCGTACGTCACATTTCTTTATTACAATACAGAGGTGAAACTAAATAACGAAAACCACCGAACTTTACCTGAGTCCAGTGCCAGCAAACAAAGAAAGGACCAAGAGAGAAGAGTCATTATGCTAGTGCTACAACTAACTGTCCTGTCAGGTCGTCTGCATAATGGGTTATATATACACGCCTGCTGCATTCCTTATCTGCTGTTCTCTGGCCTCAAATATCTTAGTATCTCCGTTTGATCCGGTTTGCGTTCAAAACATTTTAAAATGGCATTTCACTTTGACTAGACTTGCAGGGGAGATATAGACTATACAAATTCGAATTCAAAAGGCAAGTTTAGAGTCGACACCGCTAGGAGATTTGTGGAAGTTAAACATGAAAACTAGTTCCAAGATCAGAATTGAAAGACTGTCACTAGTGTATTATTTTTCTTTACCTGTCTGGTTTCAAGATGGGTTACCACTGGCGCAGAAAGTATTTGAAACGAGTGGCAACACCAAAGTCTGGAAGCTGGACAAGACTGGCGGTGTCATTGCCCCCTAAGTGCAGTCCTGAACCCCCACAAGTCTGGTGAGAGTTTCCCTATAACCTTGTTTCTCAAGAACCTCTTCAAGTATGGTCTCTCCTGTCAGGAGGTAAAGAAGATTGTCAAACAGAGGCTGATCAAAGTTGACGGCAAAGTGAGCACCGACCACCCCAATCCCACAGGATTCATAGATGTGGAGTCTATCGATGGGACCAAAGACAGCTTACTTATCCGGTACGATGCGAAAGGCAGATTTGTGTTGCGCAGAATCAAGCCAGAGGAAGCTATGTACTAACTGTGCAGTGTGCGACAGAACGGCGCTGGCCTAACAAATGTGCCCTATCTGACCACTCATGAGGGTGGGATCATCATATACCCAGACCCCTATGGTCAAGGTCAAGGACACCCTCATGGTGGACAATACCTCGGGCGAGATAAAGAAATTCCTTATGTCTGACACAGGTAACCTAGTGATGAATACGGGTGGGCATAACTTCGAGCGTGTCGGCACAATCCATAACATAGAAAGTCCACCAGGATCCTTCGATATCTTTTATGACAAGGACGCCCTTGGACATACTTTTGCCACCAGACTGTCCCACGTCTTTGTCATCGGCAAAGGCAACAAGCCATGGATCTCTCTAGCCCGGGGCCAGGGCGTCGCTAACCATCGCTGAAAAGAGGGACAGACGATCGCCGCCAAGACTCAGCAAATACATGCCAGGGAACACTAGAACAGGGCGCTACCAACACACAAGACATTGCCAGTTGAGAATAAACTGCACTACTGACCCCTGACGGCATCCGTGGCTTAGGCGTTGCGAGTCCGACTCGTAATTCCAACGTTCCGCGATCGAAACCCACTGCTGGCTGCGTAGATTGTTATCGTGATATGGGGCGTCGCAGGTCGACCCAGCCTAAAATGGTTACCAGGAAGAAGGCCGGCGTAATGCTGATCACACTACCCACCCAGTGCCGATTGGTCTGTAAAAATATGGGACGCTCTTCCCATATGCCCGATGCGCCGAAGGCGTGAAAAGGGATCCTTATTTACTGACCCCTGCTATCAAATTTACAAAACTAGTGCACGCAGGGATAAGTTCTTTAAAGTAATGTGGGGACACCATCTCAGACACCTGTCGACAGGGAAATAGAAATGATGTTCACTTTATTACTAGTGAGACAATGAAAGTGTAAGTTAACGTAGCTTACGAGAAAATATTAACTAATAAAGCTAAACACGTAGATGTGTTATTCTGTAGTGGAAATGTTATCGCGAACTTATTCAATAGTCCACACACACACACACAAAAGAAATACCAAAGTTGGCGATTATCCGTACAAAGTACAAATTTAAAAACAAAACTCAATGGGATCTACTTTTTTCCATATAAGTTTCTTTGTTTATCAGTGTGCCAAATTTAGAATGTGATATTTTTATTACGACTTTCCAGACAAGTTGATAAACCGGTCCGACTTTCAGTTGTACGATAGTGAGACAGATAGTCCTTATTGAGCCCTTAGCACGGATGACCTAGCCGACGCTGTTAAATGTCACATGACAACAGAATTCTTTCATGTCTACGACCAGTGGTTTTCTTTGACCTATGCCCCACCCATAGGTTAGAACGTATGACTGGTCAAGGCAACACTTCTCTCGAATGTCAGAAATGTCGAGATGGGAGATTACAGGAGAAAAGAATGCCAAGTTTTTTGCCACTCACCAGAATCTATACTTGACTTTTTAAAATCCTATTGTGGCTCTAGTGTTTCTTTTATGTTGTTATAGACTTGTGAGTTGAGATCGGCGTAGCACAAAAATAAATAACAACGAGACGCCATGCACATCAGAGGATTTATTAATGGACATAGAACTGGTACTATTAGCCTCCGGACCCTGGGTGTATACTGAGAGGAATATCTGAGCACCTATATACATGTCCGGAGTGCAGTTATGATAACCTAACTAACTAACCGTCGGCTCTGTGGTTAAGTCGATGCGAACGCATCGTAATGCCGGGATGCCAGGTTCGATCCCAGCTGCGGGCAATGCGCCTTGCGTTGGTTTTTAGAGCGGTATCAAGAAAACCGACCGCCAAGAACGCAATGGCAAACTACTGGACGTAATTTGCCTAGAAAAACCACGCAACAGCCAGGGGCTGTTGGGGTTGGTTCTGCAACGTCCTGTAAAGGATGCGCAACTAACCTGAACTAACTAACCAACTAATAAACTAACTAACTAAATAACTAACTAATAAACTAACTAACTTGCCTACGTCATGGGGGGGGGGGGGGCACACTAAGATAATAATGAGGCCCAGCGATACAGACACGGCTAATGACCTGGCTTTGGTTGCACAGTCAGCATTACTGGACACTAAGTAAACGGTCCTTGACGATCATGGAAGAGACAATCTGCCATGTTCGGTAAGTATAAGTAAGAATAAACTCACAGGGAGCAAGTACAGCGGGGATCTACAGTCATCAGTAGAAATTATCCTCTTTCGACACACGTTTCGGCCCACGATTCCTAAACGTATTCGGAGGTGGGCCCACCTGAGTTCATGAAGCTCAGGGCTGCTTCCCCGCCGCACAGAATTACCGGATGGTGTTATACTTTCGGCCAGAGACAAGACGACTTGGTGGTTTCGAAGGAGGTACTGTGAGATAAGAAGCCGCCACGGCAGCGTAATTAGAGCAGTCCGCATGCCTGGACGACCGAGCGACAAGCTTACTTTGGTTTACCGGACACATCTTGGACTTTTATTAGCAGTTGGCAGAGAGACACTGGCAGACAATTCGTACACGATGGACTTTTCAAAGGGATAAGAAACTCTTTTCCACTAGATACCCGGACCAACTCACCGAGGCCCGTCCCCTACGTTGTTGCGTTGCGTCCACAACCAGCTAGAGGCCCTTTCGGCCACCTCGCCCAGTTTTTTGAGTGCCCGTTTCCGTTCATTACCTAACAATCCTAACTCTTTAACCACATTGTAGAGCGAAGTGGAAACGAGGCCTCTCGCTCCCACTTCGACGGCAAATACCCGCACTGTGTAAGCCTCGTTTCTCCTCAAACCGGCTGCTAAATCACTGTATTTCTCGAGCTTATACAAATGATTCTCCTCCATCCGCGACTCAAACGGGACCGTCAACTCAATCAGGATGAGTTGCCGTTTTTGCGCAGAATGGAGAACGATGTCCGGTCGCAGGCCGGTTTTACGGATCAACTCGGGATACCGTTCATGTCCTGGCAGATCAACCGCCAGTAACCAGTCCCTCGCAGAGTCTAGTACAGATGGAGCGAATGCGTTTTTGTTGACCTTACCGATTGGAACCTGCCCAGCCTTGAGGAAACGAATGGGGGCGATACTAGAACTGGCTCTGGCGTTAGCCCTCATTCTAGCCTGGTCGACAACGGCTGCTAACTCCTTTAGCACCTTGTTGTGGCGCCAGGTATATAGCGGCCTTGACCTAGAGCTTTTCCTGCACGCGGACAGGACGTGCTCAAGAGTTTGCTTTGATTTGCACAACGGGCAAGTCGGATCGTTGGTCGCAGACCATTTAACCATGTTAACACCGGACGGTAATACATCGTACGCCGAACGAACGATAAAGCTCAGTCGCAGCGGGGTCATCCGCCAGATCTCACCCCATGTGAGTATTCTCGGCAATGCGCTCTCCAGGCTGACCCAATGGCCCTGCTGCGACTGTTGGGCTGCTTTCTGGACCCGAACCTCGTTTTCGTTGTCCCTCACCGTTTGTATCACCATGTCTCGGCGCTCTTTGGCTGAGGCCTTTGACCACCAATTGACTTTCTCGTGCCCTAGGCCTCGACGGTCGGTTTGTGTGTAACCCATCACCTCCTTCAATTTTAGTGCGTTCTGAGCAGATTCAATTGCATCGAGGACTCTCCACTTCTGACCAGTCTTTAGAGCGGGCTGGACAGCGATGACATTTGGGGTCTGAGGACTCGCGCAAAAGCATGGCGAGCCTAACTTTGCCGACTTTAAACTCTTCGGTTATTGACTTGAACGGAAGTACCAGCTTAGCCTGTTTACAATACAGAGCCACGTCGGTCAGACAAGGCGGTGCACCAATCCACTTTCTTAAGGCTGTATTGATTTTCTTTTCCATGGTTTCCACTGCAGTCATCGTCACCTCGTAGACTAGCAGTGGCCATAGAAGCTTCGGAATCAACATGAATTGGAGACACCATACCTTGAATTTTCCGATCAGCCTGCATCGCTCGATCGCGAGCAGGCCTGTAGCCAGTGACTCATGTATTCGCCGGACTTCCGCTCTGTCGGATAACTTCGAATCGTAAACGCGACCGAGACTCTTCGCCGGTTCCTCCAGAACCGTAGGGATCTTGTTCCTTGCCACCGTAAAAAAAACGCGGACTGGTCGCCGACACCTTGCCCTTATGGATTGACAGACTCCTCGATTTCTGCGGTTTGAACTGCATACCGCTCCATTGGACCACCGCGTCCAATCTATTCAGGATCGTGCGGGCAGACTCCTCGCTGCCCGTTATTATAGTCGTGTCATCCATAAATGCGCGCAGTGGCGGCAACCAGTGATCCCCTATTTGAAGGCCCAGTCCGTAGCCGGCCGCCCCGTCTAACACGATCTGCATTGCCATGACAAACAGTATAGGTGAGATCGTACACCCCATAGCTATCCCAATCTGCAACTCAGTCCACCTCGTGGTAAACGTCGAGGTAGAGAAGCGCAAAGCGAACTTGGAGAAATATTGCTCGACCATTTGACTGATCTGTGTCGGTACGTGAAACATGCGAAGGGCTCGCCACAGTAGCCTATGGGGGACTGCCCCGTAGGCGTTGGCTAAGTCCAACCATATAACGTGCAAATTGGTTCTCTCATGCTTGGCTCTCTGGATAGCCTCCCAGATCATGGTCGCGTGTTCAAGGCACCCAGGAACGCCTGGAATGCCACCCTTCTGAACACTCGTATCTATGTACTTGTTAGTCATCAGATACTGTGTGAGCCGGCGAGCCATGACTGAGAAGAATATCTTACCCTCAACATTCAACAGCGAGATGGGCCTGAATTGGGAAAGACTCTTCGAGTCCTGCTCTTTGGGAATGTAGACCCCATTTGCCTTTGACCACTCTGGACATATGTGATTGCGGATCCACGCTTGTCTCAACAAGACGTGAAGCATTTTTAGGATTTTCGGGCAACGCTTGTAAAGAACGTACGGAACACCGTTCGGACCTGGGCAGACTTTGCCGCTGGCTTTTTTCACAACGTCCTCAACCTCAGACCAAAGGGGAGGTACCAGTTTAAATGGTACCTTCGGCACCGAAGGCTGTTTGAGTCCGCTAAGGATCTCTGGATTGTCATCAAGAGGCTCTCTCCTCTTCTTATCAGAGTACATCTTGCTTAGATGTAGCTCAAGTTCTTTCTGACTGACAACCAGAGTCCCAGACTTCGGTTGCTCGAATAGACCTCGGGCAAACTGATACGGGTCCCTAAAGAATTTCTCTCGCTCCCTTTTAGTTCTTCGTCTGTTGTTACAGAAACGCTCGGCGCGACAGAGGGCACTGTGTTTGTTCTTTAAATGCACCCACACTTCGTACAGCCCCTCCCGTTCGCTGCCCGTAGCGGCTTTGAACTGTTTTCTGAGGGCATTCTTGTCTGCCCGACACTTCAGAATGTCCCTCTGCCTCCTGCTAGTATTCTGCTTGGCACCCGGCTGTGCCTTAACTACTGTCCCGAACTCGCGGGAGCAGTGTTCATATATTACATCACCAAATTTAGTAAGTAAAGTAAAGTAAAGTTCCCTTTTCACACCTTTCGGCGCATCGGGCATATGGGTAGAGCGTCCCATATTTTTACAGACCATCAGCACTCTGTGGGTAATGTGGTCAGCATTACGCCGGCTGTCTCTACTTTCCCAGGACAGCCCATCCTGGTACCCATTTTAGGCTGGGTCGACCTGCGACGTCCCATATCACGACAAAAATCCGCGCAGCCTGCAGTGGGTTTCGATCGCGGTATGCTGGCTTACGAGTCGTACTCGCAACGCCTTAGCCACGGACGCCGCCGCCATGTTCGGTATTGATCTCCAAATCCACTAAAGTCTAGGTTTCAAGAGTATGAGTGGACGAACACCCTTCTTGGAAGCCTCCGACAGAGGGCATGAAAGAGGACCTGCAGATCTACTTTTGTGCAGCCTCTATGGTAGACATGAGATGTAGAAGGGGCATGGAAGTTAAAGAGGACCGGCAGATCTACTTTTGTGCAGCCTCTATGGTAGACATGAGATGTAGAAGGGGCAAGGAAGTTAAAGAGGACCGGCAGATCTACTTTTGTGCAGCCTCTATGGTAGACATGAGATGTAGAAGGGGCATGGAAGTTAAAGAGAGCTGCAGTGTTAGTAGTAGTAGCTATTCATTTTACCCTAACCCTAACACCCCCCCCCCCCCATAATATGGGATGTCCCTAAATCACGCGTGATGTGGTCGCTAAACAGAAAAAGACCAATTCTTGGCTCAAGTCAAGTCACCTCTCTGTCACATTTGTTTTTTTGTTTTTTTTTTTTACATTAAAATTTTTATTCACCTACATATTATCTCCTTATCGCCTTTGTGTATTTGAAGAAATAACTATAATCGTATTACATACCATGTCGTCTCACTGTACAGCTTTTATTACGTCCCCCAAACGAATGCTAGTAATAAGCTTGAGAATTAAACACACACACACACACACACACACACACACACACACACACACATATATATATATATATATATATATATATATATATATATATAGTTACATACAATCTGACAACACAGAAACATACAGTACACAAATAATATCCTGTGATTATCACAAAAAGTTACTTATGCATACTGTTTCATGCAGTTTGCTGAAAAAATCATCCAAGAAACGAAACTTGTCTAAGTTCTCTCAATAATTTAAAATTACAAAGAATTATGTGACTACATTATGAAACATACTGCAGCTAAACGTGTAAGTAGTTTCTGTTGTACTTTATGTTTTTATGTTGTCATATTGTGTGTTACAATATAAATGTTAAATTCTCAAACTTTTTTCTAGAATTTTTGTTGGCGATGGCAGGGAACAGAAAACACACTGAAACAAACTAGAATGTCAGAGAGAAAACTTAACGTATCTTTGGTGAAATTAGCAACATGGTTGGTGAGATGGAGACGGTCTTGAATCAGCTCTCTTGGTGACTCAGTATCTTTCAAGACAACATCTTCTTTATTTGTATCTGCCCAATATGTTTTAATAATTCGTCTATAAAACCAAACACTGCCGCTTCAAATATTTCTGTAACTAACTGACCAACTGTCCATGATTCTCTTCCAAAAATCAGGATATACATTATATAGATCATGAAAACGTTTTTCGTCTCAGTTGACAAAGAAAAATTGCATATAAAATATTCTTCATTGTTAATAATTATGCAAATAAAATTGTTATGAATTACAAGGTTGTGTGTTTTTTATTCTTTCACTTGTCAACATCATGCGTGCTCGTCGTATTCTCTTCTGTTGTCCTCCCATGTCTGATCCTTGCTGCTACTACCTGCCTTCTCCCACTGCTCTCTGCCCGTGCTCCCGCGGTCTGCCCCGTGCCCCGGACCCAGTGCCCAGACTACTACACAGTGGTTAATGGTGCTGGTGGTCGTGCTGAAGTGATCGGTGGTGCCAGTGTTGTTGGTCGTGCCGAAGTGATTGGTGGTGCCGCTGTTGTTGGTTGTGCCGAAGTGATTAGTGGTGCTGCTGTTGTTGGTGGTGCTGCGGGGGTCGGTGGTGCTGTTGTGGTTTCTGGACGTTTGGTGCCGCACGGTGAGGGGACGTTTGATGCATAGTCGCATGTCTGGACGGGTTCGTTAAACACCAGACCTGAGGAAATTGCAGGGAGAAAAACAAAACAAAATTCCATTATGTGTGGATATTGTCTAAACATAGAACTCGGCAGCTCATATATGTAGACATTATGTAGGTACAAACACCATATACATGTAAATATATATATATATATATATATATATATGTGTGTGTGTGTGTGTGTGTGTGTGTGTGTGTGTGTTAGTATGTGTGTAAATTCTTCCTTTTTCTGTTCTTCCTCTTCTACATTTGTTTCTTTCTTCCTTTATTTCTTTTTTTCTTTCTTTCTTTCTTTTCTTTCTTTCTTTCTTTCTTTCTTTCTTTCTTTCTTTCTTTCTTTCTTTCTTTCTCTCTTTCTTTCTTTCTTTCTTCTTTTCCTACTTCTTCTTCTTCTTCTTCTTTCCCTCCTCCATCCACATTCCTTTATCCTGAAACAGAACTTCAGCTTGCTATCTTTATCATCGACTGCAGCTCACTTTGTACTTTGCCATTTCAAGGTTTATCACTTTAAGATGTTTTTTTCTTTATATATCTAAGTCTGAATTGTGGATTAACAAGGCAGATCGCGGACCCCCCTGTTAAACTTTTACGGACGTTTAGTTAGGGAACCTAAAACGGCTACGCTAGCCCTGTGTAACATGCAGCCTTATGTGAGGAAGATCGACTTGTGTGTAACCTGCTGTCTTTTGTGGGGAAGACAACTTTGTGCAACATGCAATCTTATGTGGAGAAGGATCACTTATGTGTAACCTGCAGTCTTGTGTGGGAAAGAACTTCTTTGTGTTTCGCCCAGCTCACCTTGTCTCCAATACTTTTCTCGTCTGTATTTTGATCTAAATTCCAATGCATCGAACTTCAAGTCTTCTAATCGTCAGTCAATATGATCTTTACAGAACGTCTCTCTAGTAGGGTCACACTTCAAATTCTCTCTTTCTCTACCCCATTCTCCAGCCCCCGTGTGCTTTTGTAACCAACGCCTCTTCAATGTCATGTCTTCGACAGTCACGAAGGTCAGCGTCTTTTCTGGAAACTATGCCCTCCATCAATGCCCGCCCCCCTTCGGCCACCATGATGTTTAATATGGCCAAACTAGCTCAGTTACCAGGACTGGATGCTCTTCATGTAAGATGTCAGAGTTTTTTTTTTTTTTTTTTTTTACATGGTATTCTAAGAATTGTTATGTAACATTTCTTTTCAAACACATCGTTTGTATTTTTTTATGTCCATGCCTTTCATTCGTCAGTTGCCAAAATAAAAGACTTCAAAAGTTTTGCTGAATCTCGTTTGCTGGTGGTGTGCTATAGATTCCTGCACTGTTACAGCAAGTTTGTTTTTCTAGCTTTCCTCGAAAACAAAAAACGCAGTACTTACTTGTTTCATTTTGTAATTTAGCCCTCTATGTCGATATTTTTTGTTCCATATTACGTATTCTATTGTTTACCAGCTCTGTTGTCTTGTCCATAAGTTTTCTAGTCACAATATGTGTTGTATTTAGAATCGCACTGATAAAGACTTGAGTGGAGACGTTCGGTTGTGTTTGTGTGTGTATTTGCTATTCTCTCGGCTAAACTGTCTAGTCTAATGAGTGCAATAAACTTACTTCCACTACAGTAAAACTGGCCAATGTTTATTCCTCCGTAGCATCGGTAATAGGACCTGCAATTATCAAACTGCAACAGAAGAAATGAGCAATCATAGTTAACTACAGGTTAACAATAAGAAAGGGAATCGATAATTTCACCTCACACGATAAAGTCTAGAGATGTTAGTTGGCTGTCTCCCTGAAATGTTAATCTTTCATGTGTATGCGTGAGGTCGGCTTTGTGGCTAAGTCGATGAGAATGCTTCGTAATGACAAGATGCTAGGTTCGATCCCAGCTGCGGGCCATGCGCCGTGAGTTGGTTTCGACAGTGGTATTAAGAAAGCCGACCGTCCAGAGAGCAATGGCAAACTACTGGATGTAAATTTGCCTAAAAAAACCACACTACAGCCAGGGGCTGTTGGGTTGCTTCTGCAACGTCCTGTAAAGGATACGCAACTAACCTGTATGTTTAAGAGAGACTGTGTGTGGGGGGAGGGGGAAGAGGGGGGAATTTACGTGCCAGTCTATAGTGATGTAGCGATTAAATCAATGGTTCTCAGCCTTCCTAATGCTGCGGCCTTTTAATAGAGTTCCTTATGTTGGGGAGCCCTCCAGCCATAGAATTATTTTTATTGCTACTTCATAACTTCAGTAAATATTTGTTTTCCGATTGTCTTTGGCGACCCCTGTGAAAAGGTCGTTCGATCCCCAAAAAGGTCGCGACTCACAGGTTGAGTATTGCTGGGTTAGACCCTCGCCTGTGGATCGTAAGGTCGTTGGTTCGAGTCCTGGCTGAGCTGGACTGTTTTCAAAAATGACTTTGGCTTTCAGGTTGACCCAGCATTGAGTGGGTATCAGGAATAATCCTGGGAAGCAAAAGCGACCGGTGTGTTGGCCCCATCACCCAGCGAGTGGCGATTGGTGTATAAAATGTAGGTCTAGCCTTATATGCCTAAAGCATTTGAAGACATGAAAACTACACTTTTCTTTATAACAGAAACGAAGCTTACCAGAGACAAGACAAATAGAAAAAAAACAGATAGACAGAAACAAAGCAGGCAAGAGACAAGTCAGACAAAAACAAAGCAGATGAGAGACAAGACAGACAGAAACAAAGCAGGTGAGAGACAAGACAGACAGAAAAAGGCTGGCTAGAGACAAGACAGACAGAAAAAAAGGCTGGCTAGAGACAAGACAGACAGAAAAAAGGCTGGCTAGAGACAAGACAGACAGAAAAAAGGCTGGCTAGAGACAAGACAGACAGAAAACAGACTGGCTAGAGACAAGACAGACAAAAAAAAAGCAGGCTAGAGACAAGACAGAAGCAATGCAGGCGAGAGAAAGACAACAGAAACAAAGCAGGCTAGAGACAAGACAGATAGAAGCAATGCAGGCGAGAGAAAGACAACAGAAACAAAGCAGGCTAGAGACAAGACAGATAGAAGCAATGCAGGCGAGAGAAAGACAACAGAAACAAAGCAGGCTAGAGACAAGACAGATAGAAGCAATGCAGGCGAGAGAAAGACAACAGAAACAAAGCAGGCTAGAGACAAGACAACAGAAACAAAGCAGATGAGAGACAAGACAGACAGAAACAAAGCAGGTAAGAGACTTAGTGTCGAAAAACTAATAGCTTGTCACTACGGGGAAAAAAAATCTTTTTTTTTTTTTATTTACAATGTTAGACCAATTATTTTATAATAGTCATTTGTAGGTATGTATGTTGTTACATTTGTTGACTTTGAGTTTTAAAAAAACATGGTTGCAACAGCCGCCATTTTGATTTTAAAAAATGTACTTAGCTAAAATTTTAAAAACAAACAAAGGTATTGAGAAACAGATGATTGATTCATGAACTTTAAACCTATGTTCAGGGTCAGGTCTTAATTATTTACTTCAAAGATGTTTCTAAATATTTTTTTTTTAGAATATTATAGTTTAGGTATGTTGAAAAGATACAAAAATGTAGCTTTTTTAAGATAATAATCAACTTTTAAAAACAATTACTTGATAAACTGTAATTTTAAATAGACCTAACCCTATAATATTGTGTTAGGAGTATCCACACTAAATTTCACTTCTCTGGCCTTCATATTAGCTGAGATTTTAGGATATTCCAAACAGAACAACCCGAAAAATTGAATTGTTAGAAAAGTGACTTTTAAACTTTTTTTTTTATCTTAAAAATGTGCATGGGTTGGTGTCTTTAGTATTAACTTAATGCTAAATTGTTTACAAATGACACAAATTTTGTGTTAATCTTATCTACGAATGCCGAACTTTACAAAAATTAACACACTGAAAAAGTGATATTTTTGTCAAAAATTGAAAAAAAAAATGCCGTGTAGTAACCCCTTAAGAAGAAGAGGGAGAGATGAAACAATACTCACTAAATCACTGTACATAGCATCGGGAAGTCCCGTACAGTCTGAGTTCTTATCGCATTCTGTGTGTCCCGTCCCTCTACTGGGAAACATCAATGATTATAATTATATTCAAGCTAACAGAGGATGAATTCAAGAGGAATGAAGAAACAAAAGAAATGTCCGGGCAACTACTGACAACAATAGTTAATAAACCAAGAAGATTGCGCTATACTAAACACATCCTGGGAAAAAACTAGCAGTGCATCACTAGAAACGAATATTGTTAGGAAATAGAACGACTGAGCAAGAGAGGATGTCAAAAAGAAAACCCTAACATCAATGTTGGTAAGAGAGGTCAAAGGTGCTGGACTGGATTCTATTCATAAAATGGAAGGGACTGAGCAGCATAGAACGGAATGGAGGAATAGACTCCAAGCCCTGTGTGATAAATAACGGCACAAAAAGACACTGGCTGAATGAATTAATATTCAAGCTATAGTGTATGTCATCAACTTAATCATCATTACAGTAAACCCTCTGTACTCTTGGCTGTAGTACCGGTTTGCGGTTTTCTCCATGTCATCGCTATGTGACATTGGTCATCATGTTCGTCACATCCTCCTGTCTCACGTACTGTCAGTCATGTTTCTTTTCTTCTTCACTTTCACCAGCTGTAAACTGACGGACAGTTCTGGTTGTTCATCCACTTCTGGACTGCAGTTCTTTTTCAGAACCTGAAATTTGAGTGTGCATCCGTCTTACAGATCTGACTCATTTGTATGCAGACTGCGGGTACCTTGCCTCTCAGGCAAATGCACTCCAACTTTGAAGGAAGCTCCCAATTAGTCGACTCTTACGACATGCTTTTGGGTAGGCAGTGGGTCTTTTTCTCGTTTTCCCTATAACAGGACTCCAGAACCCACACAGGAAGTCAGACATATTTGACACAGATGTTCCTCCGTGACATGACACTCACATTTATATCGTCTATCCCATCTATTTCAATTCTCAGGAGTCTTTGGCTAGGAGGTCACCACCACCAAGTCATGCCATCATAATGAGAGAGTCCGCAAGTTTCTTGAGAACCACTCTAAAGAACCAGTTTATTTGTTTAATAGTGTTCTTTATCTCTTAAGGGCCTTAGTGTCTAACATAGTTTCATTTCACAGTACCCAGTTACATACCTTGTCGTAACCCGTCATCTGCCTATCCTATCTCTATGAGTCATTTGACCCCAAATACAAAATGCAAAAGTGCGTTGATTTTGTACTGTTCCTGGGTGTGTATTAAATGCTTTGTTCTCACAGATAAGTATTTAGGTGATTTTTGTGTGTTCTTGTTTGCGGTTGCATCATTGTCTATTAGTGATAAAGCTTTCTCACTGCAATTATTTTATCTTTCTCAACTGTGACATCGTGAAACTGAATAGGACTTCTGCAGACAGAAAGGATGTAAGTTGGACCGGTAGTCTAGTACCTAGTCAGGGTTGTTGAGAAGGGGGTTGGTATGTACTATAGACAACCATACATATATATATAGACACGCATGCATAATTAAATTTACATACATAACATGCAGGCCTGCACACCCATGTGCGTTGGAACGCACCTAAATTTGTTTGCATACACTCACATGTATATCTGTATACATAGGGAAAGCAGGGGCAGATAACGGGCATTCCCCGTCATGCAAAGAGGCTTCAATAAATGCAAAGTACAGCGTAAAGGGAATAGAAAATTTAATATTGTCCGCCCAAAAGCACAGAGAAGATCGAAATCTGTTCTTGAATTTAAAGAAAACGAAAATAATGTCCACAGATAAAACTGGCTGTCACCCAACAATAACAATAAATGATGAACAAATTGAAAATATCACAAACTGTGAATATCTAGGCTCTATAATAAACAACAATGGAGACTGTTCGACAGAAATTAAAAGGAGGATGGCCATAGCAATGCAAAGATTAAACAGCCTTAAAAGTCTATGGTTAAGTTCCAGCAGGGGATAAAAATGAGAATTTTGAGAGCATGCATCTTTCCTGTGGCTACATACGGATGTGAGTCGTGGACTATCTCTCAGTCCTTAAGAAAGAGAATAGGGGCTTTTGAGCTGAAATGCTATAGAAAGATTCTCAGAATATCTTGGACAAAGAAGATGAGAAATATTGACATCTTTAAAGATCTGAACATCAAGGAAGATTGGCTAATAAACAGCATCCTTTCTCGAAAGCTGAAATATTTTGTTCATATCAAGCGCCATGACGGATTAGAAAAAATTATAGCAGAAGGCATGGTACCAGGAAGGAGGGGCAGGGGCCGACCGACACGAAGATGGGCACAGGATATAAGTGACTCCTTGAGTGTGAAAGTACATGAGGCGGGAGAAATGGCAGGAGACCGAGTTTCTTTCAGGCAGACTGTGATGATAGCGACGTTTTGCAAAGGACCTGCTACATGATGATGAGATACATGGCGCTCTGCTCCTACAAGACCATACTGCATTCAGTATTTCACATTGCACGACTCTCGTGGTGGAGCGACTCGGCGCTCGCCTGCAATCCTGAGGTGGTGGGTTCGGGTCTGACAGAGACGTGCTTTTAAACAAATGACCTTGCTTCTGGTTCGACTCATCCTTAAATTGGTACCAGTTACAGTCCTGGGAAGTAAAAGTGACCGGCGTGATTTTGGCCACATCACCCATCGAGTGCTGATGACTCTATAAAATAAAAGGTATAGCCCGATTAGCCCCATATGCCTGTAGTCATGAAAAACAGCACTGTACTTTTAATTTCCTATTGCTACCAGACGGTCCGATCTTCATACCGCTGTCGAAATAGACGCAAAGCGGTCTGCTCCCAAATCGCCCACAGCCAATTAAAAATACATTAAACGAACGATGTTCTTGGTCCCTGAACAACATACGCTACCTCAAAAGAAACGAGGACACCAATGCGAGGGCTCTACTTACACGTGACACTGTTCAGTTTCCTTGTCCAGGACCTGTTTGTCCGGACAAATGTGTTCAATGTAAACTCCATTGACACACTTCCTGTAGCCCCAACAACCGACCTCTATGATCCCAAACATGTCCGCACTTTTGCATCTCACGTCGGGCGCTGGAGTTGCGGCGCCAAAAGCTGGGTAAAAAAACATACAGGGTGTTTGTAAAGTATAACTACAGTTTGTGTGTAAACAAATTTGAAAAACGAAGACATCATACACACAGAAAAATACTTTAAAAAGTCATTGAATTAGTTACAATAGTCACAGCTACGGGTCTTATGTTATTTTGGGGAAAGCTGAAAAATACCAGTGAAATATTCTTGAAAACAAGTTTCCAAAATGTCCACAGCGGGCTTCAAGACCACGTGTGCATCGGAAGCCATTTTGAAACACTCGTTCAAAACAACAAAGTTATTTATTCCTCTGATGACACCATTTTGTTTCGACGGCAAAGAATTACTCCAGCAGACACCAGTCATTCACTGCATATTGCATCACTCCTCTACCCACTACCCCCGTTTCGCGATATTCACCATGCTTTATTTCCATGTTACGCAATCGTGTTAGTGTCATACATTCGTCATTATCTACTAGCCCAGTCCGCTCTCAGCGCTGTCCAAGCTTCTTCTTAATGCGTCTGTGCATTGCTTGCCAGTTGGTCCGCTCGCTAATTACCCTTCACTCCCGCATGACCAGGTGTGTAGATCCAGGTGAGGGAGGTTAAGTGCGATTTTCTAATGTGTTCTACATATTCAGATTGCATACTTCCTGTTGCTATCTTCTGAAGCATGTTTATTGAGTCGTTTACAATTACTGCATACGTGGCTGTAGCTCTGCTCTCTATGCTAGTGCTCTAGAAACAGCGACGTTCTCTATGGCCATGCTTGACGTGGTTGTCTGGTAAGCGCCGCTAATCTCTTGTTCAGGAGAGATCTTGATTTATTCGATCTCCTTGAAAGTTATAATTAGGGCACTTGCAATGATTTACCACACACAACCTTGGGATAGCCTCCCATCCTGGGCGGGTTGTGTTCGTACTGTTATTCCTCCCAGGAGAAACGAAGGATTGACACTCCTGGATTACTTTGTCTAAATCTGGACTGCAGACTGCGTCATCATCATCATCCTCATCATCATCATTATCAGGTGCCCTGTCAGTTCGTGTGCCGACACACCTCTATGCCATGCAACAAGACGGTCAAGAATCTTGTCTCGTTGTCTTCCTCTATCACTCCTTCCACAGATCTTTCCAGTGGTCACACCATTTTCTATTTTCCCCCTTCTCATAACATGGCCAAAAATGATGACTGTCTCCCTCTGATATCTGTGATAAGTTGTCTTCGGGCTCCCGCCTCTTTCAACACCTCTTGTTTGCTCTTTTTGGCTGCCCAAGGTATTCTAAGCATTCTTCTGTTGAACCACATCTCTGAGGCATCAAGAAATTGTTTGGCCTGCCTACCAATTGTCCAGGATTCGAAGCCATGTGTTAAAACTGGATGTATATAGCAAGCAAGAGTTCTTTTTCAAACTCTCGCAAATCCCACATATCGCTCTCACCCCCCGAAAGATTTCTCCCAGTGCGAACAAGAAATTGTGTCCCGTGTGGGTCCGTCTAAGAAACTCCATATTTACTGAATTTGAGTGGCGGTTTTTGTCTCTGTAAACAGCAAAAAAAAAAAAATATTTATGTCACTCTAAAATGAACGGGTACAACTAAATCACAAAACAAACGAAACTTTACCTGAGTCCAGCGCCAGCAAGCAAACAAAAGACAAATAGAGCTGAGTCATTGTTCGACTAGTGAGACTGGTAAGAGAACTGTACTTTCAGGTCGTCTTCAGATGGGGTTATATATACACGTCTGCTGTATTCGTTATCTGCAGTTCCATGGGCTTGCAAATCTTCTAAGGATCCGGTTTGCATTCAAAAGATTTCACAAAATTATTAATCTCTGAATAGACGTGTAGCCGAGAGATAGACTTTAAGAATTCGAGATTACAAAAGGCCAAAAAAAGTTAGCATAGCACTAGGTGATACGTGGAAGTCAACGAAGATTAAAGATAGTACCAAACTTTCAATATGAAGATTTAAATCAAATCATAATATATCAAATACTTTGGCAATATTTAACGTCACATTATCTTAGAAGGAAGTAGTTGAAACATGGTTTACGAAAGTCAAGACCCCCAGCACCAAGGTGGGGGGGAACACAATATTGTTGCCACACTAGGTATACAGTTTTCAGTACTTGATGAAAGTTGAGAAGTGGAGAGGGACCAAGTCGGTCCCCGCTGACCCTGGCTGGAGGCGAAGTTCTGCGAGAAACTGCTTTTTTTTTGAAGTGATCACTTAATATTTTGCTCAAAATAACTTCTGTTTCCACTTTTTCTACTCCTTCATCTCCCCCTCCTTCTTCTACATCTTTTTCTGTTGCTCCTTCTGCTTCTCTTTCTACTTTTTCCTTTCATTCTAAGCCTCCTCCATTTATCCAAACAAACTTTGGTTGAGGCTGGGAAAGGTTGAGGGTGATGTTAGGTTGGTCTGTGTGCTGTTTCTATTAGTCTTGTTAGCTGGTCGCCACATCACTACCAGGGTTCTCAAAACCAATGTTCCAATTGTTTCTGTATTAGTGTATTTTATAGTATTTTGCTATTTTAGTTCTTTGCCGTTTATTCTTCTTCTCGTGTAGCCTATCAAAATATGCTATCTTATATCTGCCTGCCTGTCGTTTGCTACCTAAAATGTTAGACACCCTGAGATAATAAAATCTCAATCTAGATCGAGTACCAACACGACCTGAAGATCTGACACCGTGAGACTAAAGACTCTCAGAGCTGATAACTGATCAACAGGTCCTGAAGATCTGACACCGTGAGACTAAAGACTCTCAGAGCTGATAACTGATCAACAGGACCTGAAGATTTGACATCGTGAGACTAAAGACTCTCAGTACTGATAACTGATCAACAGGACCTGAAGATCTGACACCGTGAGACTAAAGACTCTCAGTACTGATAACTGATTAATAGGACCTGAAGATTTGACATCGTGAGACTAGAGACCCTCAGTGCTGGTGACTGACCAACACAACTTGAAGATGTTAAACCGTAAGATAATGACTCTCAGTTCTAGTGGCAGACCAACAGAACTTGGAGATTTAACACCCTCAGACTCTTAGTGCTGATGACAGACCTCCAAGGGATTTATGATTAGGACACCTGTGACCCTCAACCAGCCTGTTCTTACCTGATATCCCCTGTGGGTAATGAAACAGGTATGCTCTCTAATGTGGTCTAAAGTTTTTTATTTGCGGAACCATTCTTTTATCTAATCTTCTGTAGCTCTGATTTCTTGCTCACCTGTTTCGCCATTGCAAAGAGCAAGCCCCAGTGGTTTTCTCTCATGAGGAAAGTGCCATTTGTCATCACTCATCCAAGATTTTATTTATGCCACTTTTCTTTAGTCTTGCTCTAGTTGATACTTTTTTTAATAGGTGGTCTCCACATCATTTCACGTGCCTCAGTGCTTTTGTCTCCCTTCTTATAAAATGCCTCGAATATATATTTCTTGTATTTCCTAGCTCGAGCTGGAAGTCTTTTACTCTGTCAATTGTCAAACCGCAGACCACTTATGCTTTGTTGTACATGTTTTTGCAACTGTATATCCACATAAGATGTTGCAGCGGCCCAAATTCGCTCCTATAAATGCTCAGACATTAATCAAAAGCTTCTGCACTTTTCTTATGCATAGCTAATTAATGTTATTCTTTGTCATTGCATCTGATTCTTCCCTTTGTGCTCGTTTTCTTGATTTACGCCGTTGGACGAGTTCTTGTGATAAACTGCATCTTTTTTTTTTTACAATTTTTTTTTTTTTTTTTTTTAGTTTTTTTTTTTTCCTTCTAGTTCCGTACAGCTCAAAGTAAGGTGCCAGTATTCTATGTTTACCCTATGGCACAAGGTAGAGTTTGGTGGGACATGTTCAGTTTGTTTGTTTGTTCTTTTTAGTATCCAGAAGCCATGAGGTGTTAACCCTTAGGCTCGGTATTATGGATATCGCAACCTTTCGGCCTTGATTCCATTGTAAATACCGTAAGTCTGGGAGAAATGTGGCTTTTCTGCCTACCCCCGTGATTGAACCCGGACCACAAGGAATTCGTCACCCGGTCTCCGCACAATCCGATTTAGCCAACTACGCTAGAGAGCCGGGCGGACATGTTCAGAGATTCACCCTGTCTGTAATGATTACCTTTCCCTGCTGGTAAAATAAGTGGTAATCATCACTAACCGTCAGCTCTGTGGCTAAGTCGATGCGAACGCTTCGTAATGCCGGGATGCCGGGTTCGATCCCAGCTACGGGCCATGCGCCTTGCGTTGGTTTCGACAGTGGTATCAAGAAAGTCGACCGTCCAGAAGAAATGGCAAACAACTGGACGTAATTTTGCCTAGAAAAACCACACAACAGCCAGGGGCTGTAGGGGGTTGGTTCTGCAACGTCCTGTAAAGGATACGCAACTAACCATCACTGTTTGCTTCTTATAGACTTAATAGTCCTTCTTTCTCTCTATCCTTCTCTCTCTCTCTCTCCTTCTCTCTCTCTATCCTTCTCTCTCTCTCTCTCTCTCTCTCTCTCTCTCTCTCTCTCTCTCTCTCTCTCTCTCTCTCTCTCTCTCTTTCTCAAGAATTTAATTCCATTGTTTCTCTGTTTACATTCATCTCTTTTTCATAGCAAGTTGATCTGTAATTTACCATAACTGAGAGACTGCAGCATCGATAGCGCATGTGTTATAAATGACCCAGCTGGTGGTATGTATCATTTCGGCAGCCTGCTCTAGTGCTTGGATCTCTGCTAAATACCTGGAACAATGGGTATACACTTTGCATCGCTGTAGTTATCGGATATGTGAAACATCTGTTGGCACCCCTATTCTTAACATCCCTGGTTGCTGATCCACCTGTGTATGCTATTCACGGCTAATCACTGTCGTTGTAATTTTTACCCCTCGTAAATTTTATGTTTGCAGCTTGTGTCTATTTGTTTGTGGTTCTTTAAACTAGTGCGCCTATCTGGCCACTGACTTCAACGGAGGGTCGTTCATTAACAACTACCATACGTGCACTTTGTGCACCGCACTCATCTTTACTAGTTTATATATCTGAATGGCTCCTTTTTCTATGAGTGCTGGCACCATGATTGTTCTACGAGGGAGGCTGTGGGTCGAGTTCACTCCTAACCTTTCTTCTTTATTATATGGGCTGCTTACTTAACATGACAGAGATCTTGATGTAGCTTCAAGTCCAAATGGGTGCTAGTGTCGCATGACAGCATCCACACATCTGCCACAGCAGGAAGGTCCATATAGCTGACCACACTAAACTCGTCATCGTAACTATGTAATAGAATAGGCCAAGCATAGTTAGATAGTTCGTTTGTTGTGGGGGAGTCCTGATAGGAAAAATCTCTATAAAACCCTTTGATAATGACTCTTTTAGGCTTTGAGTGTCTAATTAAATGTTAGGACGCCTTTTCTACGCCTATTCTAAATAAATTGTCTGACCACTGCACTGCATTGGTGAGCGCGATTCGTACGCTAACTGCTGTTGTTAGGGGACGTGTTTATGTGCGTCACTCTCTACAGTCCGGTCTTGGAGGCAGGCGTTTTTCCTTGTGTCTCGCCAATTGACCGTTATACAGACAAGATTCCTTGTTCTCTTTTTTATTTACAATGGGTGAGTTTTCTTAAGGACTTTTTAATTGAATAATTGAGTTCATAGTGTCTGTGATGTAGGTAAGTAAGGTCAGCAGCTGGATAATGCGAATCTGTTTTCCTACGATTCTTGCCAAGGAAGGTGGCGAAAGGAGCTCCAGATCGGAATGCACTTTCGGTTGACATTTCTCGCAGAATGCTTTGAAAATGGCCTTTTAAACCTTTTCAATTCAATCAATCTACATATCTGGAGTGGGTTTGTAGTATTGATAACTTTGTATCGTTAATTATTTGCTAGTATTCGGTATCAGAACTTGGTAAGTCTCTGAATGGTTTTGAACGACAAAAAGCTTATGGGCAGACATGACGTCATGTCCGCTGTTGCTAGGTGATTTCGTAACCACAACAAGCTTCGACTGTCGTATTGTTTTCATAACATATTTCAGTAGGTCTTGGTTTTGACTTCATCGCCGATCCCTTATTTTCTACGTTAGAAGGAACGGTAAATAATGGGGATCTGTCTAACCTTTGCCACAGAACTGAATCCCGGAACTCTTCGAGTTAATGATCTAGTGCTCACTCTAGGAAACAAAAAGGATTCTAGGATAGAGGTGACCAACTTTCATGGTTGGGAATAACCTCAAGTTTATCTGAGCATGAGGAGATGGTAAGGATGTTGATTGACCAGGTGCATTAGATACGGTTCGCTCATGGGTGTTGCTTTGTGTTTTTCAGGTTATGAAGATCCAACAAGTGTCAGTGTCTTGTAGACTGGTTCCTTCTGACACTACACATTAAGCAATTTACATGTGGTGAATTGTGGTCCTGAACGTGTGGACGATACTTGAGTCGTCGTCTTCCGAGCTCAAGGTGATTGTTCTCGATCAACGCCAGAAGCTGTTCCTGCTGGTGAAATAATGTTGGGAAGTCTGGCGACGTGAAGATCTATTCCGGCATCCAGAGAAGCAGCCTCGTTTTCTGAGAAGTCCTATCGTAAAGTACGGTAGTCGGAAACTTCGCTCCAGCATCCAGAGGAGATATAAGATCTAAACAGATAAGTCAGAGTGACCCGTATGACGGATT